GTACTCTTGGCTTTGCTGTCTCACTGCCTGTGGGAAGCAGCACTGTTGAAAGTTACCTTTTAGGTATCATGGAGGGAAAATGATGTAAACAATAGTGTAAATGTTTGCTCTGAAGGCTGGCATTAAGAAAAGAGACGGTGAGACCACTATTACATATACAAAAGTGGTTGCCATAATTTTTTTAGTAAGATACAAGCTGCCTTAATGATAGAAGCAGCCTGCACTGATGGTCCACTAACAGTGGCTGCACGGTCCTGTGTTTTAAGATCTGGGCTTGATGCCTGCTAGAGAGGATGTGGGTCAGTATGGTTTTCTGATGGAAAGAGAGAGGATGCATTTGGTCTGAAAGGGCTTTGAGTGGAACTAGGAACAGCTCTACTGAATAGTCTGGGAATTCTCTAAGTTTGAGGAAAAGAGGCAGGGGTACAACCAAGGCTTTTAATTACTTTAAAAGAAAAGCATTAAAGTGATTAAAATACAATCATATGTCTTGAAATTGGTATTTAAGGCTTCATTTCATAACCTTACCTTTCCATAACTTTCTATAGACACACACCTCTATAATTTTTCTGGAAATAGCAATGTTTGAAATGGTTTCCAAGTGTTTGTGGTCAGGCATGAATGTGTGTGTAAGCATGGAACTGGTATTTCCTGCAGGTTCACAAGGATGATAACTCATTTAGGTATTTTCTTTTTGAAGGTAAAAGTCATAGAATAAATTGTTTTAGCTGATGATAGGCATGTGGATTTAAAATAGCCTCATCTTTGGAGGACTGTGCAAGGAGGATGAAAAGGAGTACCAGTTGTTCTCACTATCAGGACACAGGTTTCCTGGCGAGCAACAGTATTTGTGTGTTGGTGAACGTCTATATTTGATGGGTAGGAAGATAATTTATAGATGTTGGTTTCTTAGTTAAACACAAGTGCAAACTTTCTATTTCCACTGAAAATCCCCATCAGACTGAGCAGAATGGAGGCTGGACGTGGAGAGACAGGGACTGAATAGTTTGCAGATGGTTGGAGCTCTAAGGAATATCTAAACTACATTCAATATAAACCAAATTCAATATAAACCAAACCGTATTCTGAGTATAAAGGCACGGATTTTTATTTTTTTTTTTAGAACTTCAAATGTCAGTGGATTTCTGGCTATCAGTTTTATTAAAACTTAAGATGTACTACACAATATTTTGACTACTGCATTTGTACGATATGTACTTCAGCTTAAGTTTCTTGCCGGGAATTTCCTTAACACAGAAGTCTGTTAAGTTGTCACAGGAAATCACAGATCCCACTGCTTCGTGGAACAATCTGTTCTGCAACAAATGTGTAAGTTTCATTACAAGTTAAATAAACAATGTTATTTGGCATATTGGATTTCTGATAGAAATAGATGTGCTGAAGCTGTTACTGTTGGCATTTAGGATTTGCTGACAATGGGCTTCTGCTCAGGACTTGAGAAAAGAACTGTTTGCCTCCATAGATTTACTGAAGTGCTTCTGCGTGTTGGTGTATCACAGAGCGCAGAGAAAACTTGCAGTCCTTGGAGAGGATGGCAGAATACATCTATTTGAGAATATTAAAAACTGATAATAGAGAGCTCTTTGATAAGAAGATTCCCTGGTTATGCAAGGATAAAGACATGAGCCTTAGGCTTTGAAATGTAGCATGTGATTAAAAAATTCAGAAACAATTTCTGCTTTTCCAGAAGCAAAAATCTGGTTTTGTAAGCATCTAGACCTCAAAACACATCCTCTCATTTACCGTGACCTTGCAAGAGGACCACACAAATATAATTTCACACAAACATTTTCTTTCCCTGAGGATATGAATGAGATTGTACACTTCCGTCCTTTTCAGAGGAGGAATAAAGAAAAAATAACAAATAAATTATGCACTGCTGATATAACACGGTGGGGATGGTGGTACTAGAATTTAAACACAAGTGCCCTTAAACTTGAAACAGAAAGATACTTAGGAAGACAGCTTTATTGGTAACTATGCAGATTAAGCAGCAAGAAAAAAACCTACTTTAAAAACCTGCATAATCTGTCCTGTTTCTTTTCCACTTTTGAAGAGTCCCTGGCAATGTGACGGCAGGTGAAGCTTCAATAGGAAACTGTGACTAAGCTGTGTTGTTGGAAATGGGAATGTTCAGAAGGGAGGACTCTGCCAGAGCACTCTGACCTGAAACCCAAGTTGCTGCTGGACTATTTAGGTTATGCTGTCCTTAAGTATTTGCCTCTCTAGAACTCCTCTGAAAGTAAGATAATTATAAATCCTCTGCGAGTGTTACAGTCACTGCCACAACTTCATGTTGGTCATGCAAAGGTGGATACCTCCAGCCCGTTCTTGCACCTTTTCTACCAACCTGTCGCAGGCAGCGACAGCATCTACAGGTTATCTGACAAGCTGGGCCGTGTGTTACTGATGAGGAACTGGTCCCAGTCTCACCATTAGTGTTGGACTGGCACTGACACTGGCCACCCCATTTGAGTACATTTGCCAAATGAGTGGGGCTGAGGGAGCTGGAGAGGGCATGGACCATTCCTGCACTCGCCTGTGGCTCCCTGAAACCATGCTCACCCCTGGTCCCTGCGATTGGACACCGCTGCATTGCAGGGTGGCCCTGTGACACCCTGTTTGCTCTGCTCTGCTGGGGTTGACCCAGCAAGTTGGTGGAGTCACCACGGCTTGTGCCCACACAACATCAAAAAGCCAAGCCAGGCCCTAGATAACAACAGCAGCAAGGGGGTGCCACGGTCAGACGGCAGCGAGCTGGGCGTGTAAACCTGGCTTCCCATTTGGTGACTGGGACAGGGACACGTGGGGCGTGTGGTGGCAGCTGGGCTGGTGGCAGCTGCTGCTGTTGGCCACCCAGTGTGGGCGTGATGTGTGGGGATGGGGCTGCTGGCGGGAACACAGAGGAAGGCTCTTTATTGCTTGGATTGCAGCTTTTTCATTGTTTCCCCACTTCAGCCAGGGATTATTTATTTTGGTTTTAAGAAACCCCTGTGCTGCGGGGCAGGCGGCTGTCTTGCCAGCAAAGGATGGTGTGAGGCTGTGCTGGGGGAGACACATTGGGCTGTATGGCCACCAGCTTTCCAGGGAGAGCCACCAGCCAGGCTGGAGGGGTCCCAGTGTGGCTGTGGAGCTGCTCTTCTAACCAGATATTGCCCCAAACAGTCACATGTGGAGAATGTTTCTACTCCTCCCACCTGGGGCAAAGAGCAATTGTATTCAGCAGGATAATGGGGCAGGCACAAGGATTCTGCAGGGTCCATGGTGTGGGCTCTTGTTCTGTTTTCATAGAATCATGGAATCATGGAGTGGTTAGAGTTGGAAGGGACCATAAAAAGTATCGAGTTCCAACCCCTCTGCCCTGGGCAGGGACACCTCCTACTAGAACAGGTTGCTCAAAGCTCCATCCAGCCTGGCCTTGAACATCTCCTGGGATGGGGCAGCCACAGCTTCTCTGGGCAACTTGTTCCAGAGCCTCAGCACCTTCAAAATGAGAAATTTCTTTATAATATATAATCAAAATTTACTCTTTTTCAGTTTGAAGCCATTACTCCTTGTGCTTTCACTATATACCCTTGTAAAAAGTCCCTCTCCATCTTTCTTGTAGGCCCCCTTCAGGTACTATAGGCCACTATAAGGTCTCCCTGGAGCCGCCTTCTCTCCAGACTGAACAACCCCAACTCTCTCTCTTTTATTTTTTTGGGCCTTTTTGCAGCCATTTGCTGAGCAGACCTCAGGCTTTTCAGAGGCAGGACCTTCTTTTCCCCACAGTGGCCTTGTCCCTCAGGTCAGCAGCTGCAGCCCGGGGAGCAGGTGCCGCCCGCTTGCAGCCCCTTGCTCCCATTTTGGTGGGATGACACTTCAGCAACGGGAGGATGTATTTTTGCAAGGGTAAATAAGTCTCGGAGGTATTCGCCGCAGATCCGCTTTCCCCTCAGCATTGAGCACGTGTGCTGCCTTCCCACCCACTGAAAAACAAGCAGCAGATGGAACCCGGACCCTTTCCTGTGGCTCACCCCACAGCTCCCAGAGCACCGCCTGGGGGACCCGACCGGAGACCCAGTCCTCTTGCATTTTATTTAGAGCAGATTGCGGGAGGTGAGTGATCCTTCTGCATCGGGTGATCATGTCCCAGAGAGAGCCTGCCCTGTCTAAGTATAGATTTGAGAGTTCAGCCGAGTCCACGGGGACCAAAGGCTGTGAGGACAGTCGGTGGCAGGCGAATAGTGTCAGCCCTGTCAGCTGCTTCGCCCCCCGGTTCCTGTCGCCTACGCTGCCTTTGCATGATAACCTTTCTCTGGTCAGTGAGTAATGCTTTAGTAACACTTATTTATCCCATGCTGCTGTAAATGCAAGCGGAGTGTTAACCTCTCTGTTGCCAATTCTCCTACTCCTTGCAGTGGGCTGTGACAGCTGAAGCTCACCCGGAGCAGGGGTTTCCACCACGTCAAGGCCACATGCTGCCTTCACATCCGTACTGTTATGGTTGTGGAATTGTGCAGCTGTGCAGAAAGGCAGAATTAGATTTTGACATTAAGAACCTGTCTTGAAAACAAAATTAAACCATTAAAATCCATATAAAATATGATTAATGATGGTAATAAAATGTTGGCAGTGAGAATTCCTTGTACTCCATTCACAGAATTTATAGCCCAGCAAACCGTCTGACCATAACATCTCATATGAAAGTAAGGATACCGGCTGTTTGGGAGTGAATTTGTGTTTGTCAGGCTCTAATTTTTCACTGAACCTTATGACTTAATTAGGATACTTGAGGAGTCAGTTGCAAGGAAAGTGTGCTCTGATTTACTGAGCTCAGGTTTCTTGCCCTGACTGTGCTTCCAAGAACTTCAGCAGGTAAAATTAGCAGGCAAACATGATCACTGGGAAATTATATTCTCTGGAGCTTTGTTGTCAACAGCTAAATCTTGAAGGCAGCATTTTTGTATACGGCTGAAACCAAAAGTGGTTTTAGAAGTGGAGGAAAACGATCAGCTCAGGATGTCATCTGAGGAGGAAGAGCAGCCAGAGACCCCCACCGGCTCCCCTTGGTCTTGGGTAAGAGCATGCCCTAAGGTTGCATAAATATAATTTTAAAGCTCTAGGAAAAAAAAAAGTTACTGTGCTGTGTGAGCCTAAATAGAACTGAGTATCTTCAGCTTTTTTAACTCTCCTGTTGAAGTTTGCGTTTCCTTAAGATTAGATTTTTCTGTTTGAGTTCTACCTGCGGATGTTTAAAAAAAAAGGAATCAGGAAAAAATTCTTTTGCTTCTGTTGTGTATGTCAGATGCTACAAGAAAACCTGGCTGGCTCTGTACTCTTGGCTTTGCTGTCTCACTGCCTGTGGGAAGCAGCACTGTTGAAAGTTACCTTTTAGGTATCATGGAGGGAAAATGATGTAAACAATAGTGTAAATGTTTGCTCTGAAGGCTGGCATTAAGAAAAGAGACGGTGAGACCACTATTACATATACAAAAGTGGTTGCCATAATTTTTTTAGTAAGATACAAGCTGCCTTAATGATAGAAGCAGCCTGCACTGATGGTCCACTAACAGTGGCTGCACGGTCCTGTGTTTTAAGATCTGGGCTTGATGCCTGCTAGAGAGGATGTGGGTCAGTATGGTTTTCTGATGGAAAGAGAGAGGATGCATTTGGTCTGAAAGGGCTTTGAGTGGAACTAGGAACAGCTCTACTGAATAGTCTGGGAATTCTCTAAGTTTGAGGAAAAGAGGCAGGGGTACAACCAAGGCTTTTAATTACTTTAAAAGAAAAGCATTAAAGTGATTAAAATACAATCATATGTCTTGAAATTGGTATTTAAGGCTTCATTTCATAACCTTACCTTTCCATAACTTTCTATAGACACACACCTCTATAATTTTTCTGGAAATAGCAATGTTTGAAATGGTTTCCAAGTGTTTGTGGTCAGGCATGAATGTGTGTGTAAGCATGGAACTGGTATTTCCTGCAGGTTCACAAGGATGATAACTCATTTAGGTATTTTCTTTTTGAAGGTAAAAGTCATAGAATAAATTGTTTTAGCTGATGATAGGCATGTGGATTTAAAATAGCCTCATCTTTGGAGGACTGTGCAAGGAGGATGAAAAGGAGTACCAGTTGTTCTCACTATCAGGACACAGGTTTCCTGGCGAGCAACAGTATTTGTGTGTTGGTGAACGTCTATATTTGATGGGTAGGAAGATAATTTATAGATGTTGGTTTCTTAGTTAAACACAAGTGCAAACTTTCTATTTCCACTGAAAATCCCCATCAGACTGAGCAGAATGGAGGCTGGACGTGGAGAGACAGGGACTGAATAGTTTGCAGATGGTTGGAGCTCTAAGGAATATCTAAACTACATTCAATATAAACCAAATTCAATATAAACCAAACCGTATTCTGAGTATAAAGGCACGGATTTTTATTTTTTTTTTTAGAACTTCAAATGTCAGTGGATTTCTGGCTATCAGTTTTATTAAAACTTAAGATGTACTACACAATATTTTGACTACTGCATTTGTACGATATGTACTTCAGCTTAAGTTTCTTGCCGGGAATTTCCTTAACACAGAAGTCTGTTAAGTTGTCACAGGAAATCACAGATCCCACTGCTTCGTGGAACAATCTGTTCTGCAACAAATGTGTAAGTTTCATTACAAGTTAAATAAACAATGTTATTTGGCATATTGGATTTCTGATAGAAATAGATGTGCTGAAGCTGTTACTGTTGGCATTTAGGATTTGCTGACAATGGGCTTCTGCTCAGGACTTGAGAAAAGAACTGTTTGCCTCCATAGATTTACTGAAGTGCTTCTGCGTGTTGGTGTATCACAGAGCGCAGAGAAAACTTGCAGTCCTTGGAGAGGATGGCAGAATACATCTATTTGAGAATATTAAAAACTGATAATAGAGAGCTCTTTGATAAGAAGATTCCCTGGTTATGCAAGGATAAAGACATGAGCCTTAGGCTTTGAAATGTAGCATGTGATTAAAAAATTCAGAAACAATTTCTGCTTTTCCAGAAGCAAAAATCTGGTTTTGTAAGCATCTAGACCTCAAAACACATCCTCTCATTTACCGTGACCTTGCAAGAGGACCACACAAATATAATTTCACACAAACATTTTCTTTCCCTGAGGATATGAATGAGATTGTACACTTCCGTCCTTTTCAGAGGAGGAATAAAGAAAAAATAACAAATAAATTATGCACTGCTGATATAACACGGTGGGGATGGTGGTACTAGAATTTAAACACAAGTGCCCTTAAACTTGAAACAGAAAGATACTTAGGAAGACAGCTTTATTGGTAACTATGCAGATTAAGCAGCAAGAAAAAAACCTACTTTAAAAACCTGCATAATCTGTCCTGTTTCTTTTCCACTTTTGAAGAGTCCCTGGCAATGTGACGGCAGGTGAAGCTTCAATAGGAAACTGTGACTAAGCTGTGTTGTTGGAAATGGGAATGTTCAGAAGGGAGGACTCTGCCAGAGCACTCTGACCTGAAACCCAAGTTGCTGCTGGACTATTTAGGTTATGCTGTCCTTAAGTATTTGCCTCTCTAGAACTCCTCTGAAAGTAAGATAATTATAAATCCTCTGCGAGTGTTACAGTCACTGCCACAACTTCATGTTGGTCATGCAAAGGTGGATACCTCCAGCCCGTTCTTGCACCTTTTCTACCAACCTGTCGCAGGCAGCGACAGCATCTACAGGTTATCTGACAAGCTGGGCCGTGTGTTACTGATGAGGAACTGGTCCCAGTCTCACCATTAGTGTTGGGCTGGCACTGATACTGGCCACCCCATTTGAATATATTTGCCAAATGAGTGGGGCTGGGGGAGCTGGAGAGGGCATGGACCATTCCTGCACTCGCCTGTGGCTCCCTGAAACCATGCTCACCCCTGGTCCCCGCGGTCGGACACCGCTGCATTGCAGGGTGGCCCTGCGACGCCCTGTTTGCTCTGCTCTGCTGGGGTTGACCCAGCAAGTTGGTGGAGTCACCACGGCTTGTGCCCACACAACATCAAAAAGCCAAGCCAGGCCCTAGATAACAACAGCAGCAAGGGGGTGCCACGGTCAGACGGCAGCGAGCTGGGCGTGTAAACCTGGCTTCCCATTTGGTGACTGGGACAGGGACACGTGGGGCGTGTGGTGGCAGCTGGGCTGGTGGCAGCTGCTGCTGTTGGCCACCCAGTGTGGGCGTGATGTGTGGGGATGGGGCTGCTGGCGGGAACACAGAGGAAGGCTCTTTATTGCTTGGATTGCAGCTTTTTCATTGTTTCCCCACTTCAGCCAGGGATTATTTATTTTGGTTTTAAGAAACCCCTGTGCTGCGGGGCAGGCGGCTGTCTTGTCAGTGTGAGCGGTGTGGCGGTGTGAGGCTGTGCTGGGGGAGACACGTTGAGCTGTATGGCCACCAGCTTTCCAGGGAGAGCCACCAGCCAGGCTGGAGGGGTCCCAGTGTGGCTGTGGAGCTGCTCTTCTAACCAGATATTGCCCCAAACAGTCACATGTGGAGAATGTTTCTACTCCTCCCACCTGGGGCAAAGAGCAATTGTATTCAGCAGGATAATGGGGCAGGCACAAGGATTCTGCAGGGTCCATGGTGTGGGCTCTTGTTCTGTTTTCATAGAATCATGGAATCATGGAGTGGTTAGAGTTGGAAGGGACCATAAAAAGTATCGAGTTCCAACCCCTCTGCCCTGGGCAGGGACACCTCCTACTAGAACAGGTTGCTCAAAGCTCCATCCAGCCTGGCCTTGACCATCTCCTGGGATGGGGCAGCCACAGCTTCTCTGGGCAACTTGTTCCAGAGCCTCAGCACCTTCAAAATGAGATATTTCTTTATAATATATAATCAAAATTTACTCTTTTTCAGTTTGAAGCCATTACTCCTTGTGCTTTCACTATATACCCTTGTAAAAAGTCCCTCTCCATCTTTCTTGTAGGCCCCCTTCAGGTACTATAGGCCACTATAAGGTCTCCCTGGAGCCGCCTTCTCTCCAGACTGAACAACCCCAACTCTCTCTCTTTTATTTTTTTGGGCCTTTTTGCAGCCATTTGCTGAGCAGACCTCAGGCTTTTCAGAGGCAGGACCTTCTTTTCCCCACAGTGGCCTTGTCCCTCAGGTCAGCAGCTGCAGCCCGGGGAGCAGGTGCCGCCCGCTTGCAGCCCCTTGCTCCCATTTTGGTGGGATGACACTTCAGCAACGGGAGGATGTATTTTTGCAAGGGTAAATAAGTCTCGGAGGTATTCGCCGCAGATCCGCTTTCCCCTCAGCATTGAGCACGTGTGCTGCCTTCCCACCCACTGAAAAACAAGCAGCAGATGGAACCCGGACCCTTTCCTGTGGCTCACCCCACAGCTCCCAGAGCACCGCCTGGGGGACCCGACCGGAGACCCAGTCCTCTTGCATTTTATTTAGAGCAGATTGCGGGAGGTGAGTGATCCTTCTGCATCGGGTGATCATGTCCCAGAGAGAGCCTGCCCTGTCTAAGTATAGATTTGAGAGTTCAGCCGAGTCCACGGGGACCAAAGGCTGTGAGGACAGTCGGTGGCAGGCGAATTTTCCCCACAGTGGCCTTGTCCCTCAGGTCAGCAGCTGCAGCCCGGGGAGCAGGTGCCTCCCTGGAGCCTTCTCCTCTCCAGATTGAACAACCCCAACTCTCTCTATTTTTTGGGGCCTTTTTGCAGCCATTTGCTGAGCAGGCCTCAGGCTTTTCAGAGGCAGGACCTTCTTTTCCCCACAGTGGCCTTGTCCCTCAGGTCAGCAGCTGCAGCCCGGGGAGCAGGTGCTGCCCGGTTGCAGCCCCTTGCTCCCATTTTGGCGGGATGACACTTCAACGACGGGAGGATGTATTTTTGCAAGGGTAAATAAGTCTCGGAGGTATTTGCCGCAGATCCGCTTTCCCCTCAGCATCGAGCACGTGTGCTGCCTTCCCACCCACGGAAAAACAAGCAGCAGATGGAACCCGGACCCTTTCCTGTGGCTCACCCCACAGCTCCCAGAGCACCGCCTGGGGGACCCGACCGGAGACCCAGTCCTCTTGCATTTTAT